CATATTGAAGAAACGGGTTCCTGGTGACTTCATTCACAAGTGGCTTCAAGATTGTCCAATTTTTTGTAATATATACAGTATTAAAGCAAAATTTTAAGTTACTTTGACTTTATTAAAATGAAGTTAGTCGAAGATTTAGGAACGAGCCAAGTATAACATGCCATCACCTATTGTTTATTAACTGTTGCCTATTAATACTTTTGTATGCAGATATTGACAATGTCAAGCTTTACGATGTGATAGTTTAAATGTAAAAAAGGATTAGTAGAATTGTATAATAGTTGCAGATAACACGTATGATAGAAACGAGATACAAGGTACGTTACCGAAATAGGTACCGATTTGATACAATTTGTACAATATTTATATATTCTACCTTTAAATGATTTTGCTTTTTTTTTTTTTCAAAATTCAATGATCGGCCAAAACTTTGGATTTCCATTTTAAAGAAAATGAATAATCAACATCTATCAAATCAATACAATCTTTGGAATGGTAGGACAAATGATTCACTGCTAATAGGAAACACGTCCGAATCAACATTAAGGAATCGAGTTGCGGACTCACCTCTTGTTCAATCTACTCCAGTATCAAGACCAAAACCACAATCTTCTCTTGGCCCACCTCCTAAAACATATTATTTATCTCCTTTGGAACGTAAACTTATAGCAGAAAGGGAGTTACCTGAAAATAAGTACCATTATGCTTATTATTATTCAATACAAATCATCACTTCAAATAGTGTTTTTTTGGTGGTTCTGATGATTAGTTCAATCATTTTTAATAGGTGATATAGATAAATAAACAATACATGTATTTTTCAATATTCTCGTTGCTTGTATGTTTATCTACATGTATGAACTAACATTTTGTTTTTTCTTGAAAAAAATAGTCGTTTTGATATTTTATTGATAGAGTGGAGAGACTGGAAACCTTTTGCTACGATTATTTTTACATTGGGCAAGTAAATGATGATATATGTAATATTTTTAATAATATGAATAAATTTTTTACTCATTGATCGATTTATTAAACAGAAGCCATTCTTATAATGTATCCTATCGGCAACATTATAAAGACATTATACGAATGTTCATTATATAAACAAGAAGAAAAAAACATTCAAGATTTAAAAGAAAAAATGTGTAATTGTTTTTTATACATTGTAAATAACTTATTTCTAGATTATTTTTTTCCACCTAAACTTTAAAAAAAATTTTTTATAGTAATAGAATTATCAAAGCCTGCAATATTTGATGAATTGAAACCCATTAAACCCATAAATACTAGAGTTCCCGATTCCACTTCATCTTCCACATCACAGTCACTTTCTTGGTCACAAACATCTCCCATATTTGCAACAACAACAACAACAACAACAACAACTACATCAACGTCACCATCATCTTATTTATCTTCAACATCTCCCATATCCCAATCAAATTCCATACATCAATCAACTTCTGCATTACAATCAGCTTCTGCATTCCAGTCAACTTCTGCATTCCAACCTTCTTCCGGATTTCCATCATCTTCTGTATTTCAATCAACAACACCTTCATCTACTGATAGATTTACTACAAATATTGGCACATCATCACCATCATCTCTGTCTCTACAATCACCTTTCTCAAGTTCTACTGTTGCATCAGACAGTCCTATGTTTAATAGATCTAGATTTACAAGAACATCAGTCAATGATAATAATAATAATAATAATAATAATAATAATAATAATAATAATAATAATAATAATAATAATAATAATAATAAT